ATGTGTGCAGATCTCACCAGGGATGCGTTTGGGTCTCACCAGGGCTGCGTGCAGATATCACCAGGGCTGCATTTGGGTCTCACCAGGGATGCGTTTGGGTCTAACCATGGCTGCGTGCAGATATCACCAAGGCTGCTATTGGGTCTCACCAGGGCTGTGTTTGGGTCTCACCAGGGCTGCGTTTGGGTCTCACCAGGACTGCGTTTGGGTCTCACCAGGGATGCATTTGGGTCTCACCAGGGATGCATGCAGATCTCCACAGGGCTGTGTTTGGGCCTCACCAGGGCTGTGTTTGGTTCTCACCAGGGCTGCGTGTGGGTCTCAGCAGGGATGCCTACAGATCTCCCTAGGGCTGCGTTTGGGTCTCACCAGGGCTCTGTGGATGGGTGCCAGGCTCTCCACTGCTCTGTATGCGGCTGCTGGGCTCTCTATGGCTAAAGGGGGGGGATTTGGGCTCCAGGGCTGTGCTGGTGAGTGTGGGGCTGTCCTGTGCTGTGCCAGCACGGAGAAGGAGGCAATGTGCAGTCAGACAGGCACTATGAAAGATAGCTGCATGAGTACACTCAGGACCCCAGGTAGCTGAACTTCCTGAAAAATTTAAAGGGCCAATATCGACCTTTAGTATCGGGGCATTTTCAGGAGTACAAGTAATGTGACCTGTGTCGGCCCCGATACCGACATCCCTGAACTATTATGAGAAATTTACAGATATCTTGGGAAGTAGAATCACAGGTGCATTTAACGCTATTCTTGAGTGTGTTGCATTGCCCAGGGCTTCCCTCAGGACCCCTCTAATTGCGCAAGCTATCGATCGATATCATTACTGAATGTGGTTCTAAAACTTTTTACAAGGATTCAAGCCTCTATACTGCTGCTGTTCATCCAAAAGCTTCAGTCCGGAACAAGTGGGATTTGTGCCTTCCCGTGAAGCCAGGGATAATACCATCAGAACCCCGAATGCTATACACCTGGCACAGACCAACTCGATACCTCTTCTACTATGCCGAAAAGGCATTCGATAGGGTAAATTGGTCTTTCTTGTGAGAGCTCCTAAAATATATTGACCTGGGACCCCATATGCAAAGTTGAAGAGGGGCTCTGTAGTCTAATCCTTCAGTGGTAGTTCATGTCAATAAGACTATCTCGGATCCGTTCCCTATATCGAACGGAACTCGTCAGAGTTGTCCCCTATCTCCTCTTATTTTTATACTTGCCTTGTAGCCCCTGATTCACTCATTTCAGGCGTCACCCAACATCACAGGCCTTGAGATGGCCTCGGGCTATCATAAAACTGTCACATACGCAGACGAGATCTCAATACCAAACTTAATGGCTGCACTGTCAAAATACAGAAAACTCTCAAATTTTAAGATCAACTTCTCCAAGTCTGAGGCACTGAATATATCGGTTCCGGGTCCGCGGTTGCTCCAAATTCAAATGAATTTCCCATTTAAATGGGCTCACTCCTACATAAAATACACTATATTGCCAAAAGTATTGGGACACCCCTCCAAATCATTAGATTCAGGTGTTCCAATCGCCTGCATGGCCACAGGTGTATAAAATCAAGCAACTAGGCACGCAGACTGCTTCTACAAACATTTGTGAAATAATGGGTCGCTCTCAGGAGCTTAGTGAATTCAAGCATGGTACCGTGATAGGTGTCCATCCGTGAAATTTCCAAATATTCCACGGTCAACTGTTAGTGGTATTATAACAAAGTGGAAGCAACTGGGAACAAGAGCAACTCAGCCACGAAGGCCATGTAAAATGACAGAGCGGGGTCAGCGCATGCTAAAGTGCACAATGCGCACAAGTCACCAACTGTCTGCAGAGTCAATAGCTACAGACCTCCAAACTTCGTGTGGCTTTCAGATTGGCACAACAACAGTGCATAGATAGCTTCATGGAATGGGTTTCCATGGCCAAGCAGCTGCATCCAAGCCTTGCATCACCAAGTGCAATGCAAAGCGTCGGATGCAGTGGCGTAAAGCACGCCACCACTGGACTCTAGAGAAGTGGAGACGCGTTCTCTGGAGTGACGAATCACGCTTCTGTCTGGTTGCATTGCGCCAAGTGTAAAGTTTAATGGAGAGGGGATTATGGTGTGGGGTTGTTTTTCAGGGGTTGGGCTTGGCCCCTTAGTTCCAGTGAAGGGAACTCTTAAGGCATCAGCATACCAAGACATTTTGGACAATTTCATGCTCCCAACTTTGTGGGAACAGTTTGGGGATGGCCCCTTCCTGTTCCAACACGACTGCGCAACAGTGCACAAAGCAAGGTCCATAAAGACATGGATGAGCGAGTTTGGGGTGGAGTAACTTGACTGGTCTGCGCAGAGTCCTGACCTCAACCCGATAGAACACCTTTGGGATGAATTAGAGCGGAGACTGCTGGCCAAGTCTTCTCGTCCAACATCAGTACCTGACCTCACAAATGCGCTTGTGGAAGAATGGTCAAACATTCCCATTGACACACTCCTAAAACTTGTGGACAACCTTCCCAGAAAAGTTGAAGCTGTTAGAGCTGCAAAGGGTGGGCCAACTCAATATTGAACCCTATGGACTAAGACTGGGATGCCATTAAAGTTCATGTGCGTGTAAAGGCAGGCTTCCCAATATGTTTGGCAATATAGTGTATCTGGGGGTTCTGATACCTGTCGACCTTAACACCACCTTCTCTCTCTTTTTCCCCTATTCAGAAGAAGATTGTAAGGGACTCGCAGTCCTGAAATCGATCAGTGTTTATTGGTTCGGATGAAACAGCATTTCAAAACTAACAATACTTCCTAGGCTTATGTTTTTATTCCAAATGCTCCCTGTAGAGGCTCCTTCTGCCTACCTGCGACGCATGCGTTCTACCTTCCTATCTTTTCTCTGGGCCAACAAGAAAGCTAGAATCCATCATTCCATTTTGTCTAGGTCCAAGATAGCTGGTGGCATAGGATTTCCCGACCCCAGTCTCTGTTATAAAGCAGCACACATCACAAGGCTGATCGATTGGTGTTGTAGCTCAGAGGTGCAACTTTGTGTGGTGCTCAAACAGGACTCTTGTATGCGTTCACTCACTGGCATTCCTTGGTTCTTCCCCAGTTTGCCATTGAAAGCCTGGCTTAACCCTCACATTAGGGCTACCATGCATGTGGTTGGGATGTCTCTTTCCTCTCCTAACTTATCGCCTTCTTCGCCTATGCTCCCTATCACTGGCAATCCACTATTCCCCCTGGGGCTAAGTGGAACCAGGTTCCAAGCATAATTGGAAGCCACATATGCTAGAGCATATCACTTCATGGAGAACTCTCTTTGGAAATCGACCACCCAGATTCGTGCTATGTTAGATCCTCCGCTAGAGTTTTGGGAGGGCCATGCAAATTGGGCCTTTTACACAATCCATTTCAGATAAGACGGCTATTATGAGACATTTGATGCAGCTCCAGTCTGCAATGTCTTGACAATGTTAGTTCAAACTCAAAATGACTCCTCGAGGTTCCCCTCTCCTCCATTTCTGGCACAATGAGAAAGGGACTGGGGGATGGTGGGGGATTTTGGATCTTGAAGGGTACATCCTGTGCAACAGAGTAAGTAGTTCATACCACCTCTTATATACCAAGGATCTTATATACGGTTTCCTGGATTCTTTTATAAATGGAAGACTTACGTGCAAAAACCAGTATTCGTTCATACTGTTGTGTGGTAAACACAACAGTATGAACGAATACTGGTTTTTGCACGTAAGTCTTCCATTTATAAAGGAATCCAGGATTCGTTCATACTGTTGTGTGGTAAACACAACAGTATGAACGAATACTGGTTTTTGCACGTAAGTCTTCCATTTATAAAAGAATCCAGGAAACCGTATATAAGATCCTTGGTATATAAGAGGTGGTATGAACTACTTACTCTGTTGCACAGGATGTACCCTTCAAGATCCAAAATGTGTTGGCGTTGTAATAGCAGCCCTGGTACACTTCTACATATCTTCTGGGAATGTTTCCAGATATGCAAATTTTGGATGAAAGTAGCGGACTGTATTGCTACAATTTCTGATATCCGCCTCACTCTTGACCCAGCCGTCTTCATCCTCCACCTTGCGCCACTCTCGAGGAAGGTGTATAAATGTCCATTGTTAATAGATCTTTTGAATGCAGCAAAGGTGTGCATACTTGCTCTGTAGAAGCAACAAAAACCGCCAACTTTCTCATTATGGGTGCGCAAGGTGGAGGAAATAAGACTGAAAGAAGACCTGTCCTCATCGATTCGCAATATGCAAGATAAGTTCTCTCCTACCTGGTATGCGTGGCTTTGTTTTTATTATGTTCAGGCATGTTCTGCTTAAACTCCTTTTAGGGATTTAGTGATATTTGCTTGTAGTTTATTACTTGTGGCTGGGATCCCTCCGGTCTATCCCGCTCAGAAATGTACCTGCTCTGATTTGTCTTTTTTTTGTGTGTGTGTCCCCCTTTCCTGCTATCTGTGTCACCTTTCTGCCCTTCCTCTGTACTTTTATTTTGTTTTGTTATTCAGTCTAGTTAAGTGTTTGTTTTTTGGTTTTGATAAACTTTCTTGAACTCGTTCTATTTCTTTGTCTTCTAGAAAAGTTACCTTTTAAAAATGTAATAATACAGGGCTAGAGTTGCCTTTCCCTTCTACTACAATAGCTCAGTTATGCAGCCTGTTGGTAATAAATATTATGTGATGTCGGGGAGGTTCTACGTAACCAACTTTTTTTTTGTATACCTTTTCTCGGTTAGATGTATTGCCTATTTTATGTATTGGTCTCTTTTGCTCTGTCTTTAAAAATAAAGAATTAAAAAAAAAATGTATACTGGCTTGCTTTGTATTACTGCAATTTATACTTTTGGCTTATTGACTTAAACCTCTATGTGACATTTTGTATTATACCGTTATGTTTCATGTCATTTCAACAAGTAGGACCGAATACCAGGTTAAACTACTGGCTTGCAATATAACCTCTGTTTTATTTTATATTTTTTCTTCCAGTCATTCACCAGACTGACGGAACTAGTTCTTATGGCTCATAAGAAGGAATTAGATGGTTTACGCATCACTTCAAACAATGAACTGAATCTAGCAGATCTAGAAGATGATGGCCGCAAAGCGGATGCAATGGCAAACTCAAAGTCTTGTTGGTGCTAGACAATTACCAGCGGAAGAAAGAGATAGGTGTAAATATCCAGTTCAGAATGGAATGTTTTCTTTACTGATCTATTTGGAAAGCTCCTGCATCAAACTTTTCAATCCTTAAGGCCCCAATTAATAGACATGACTAGGACTTTGCAAACGTCTTCAGATATGAAATTGTATATTTTATCAGAGAAAGTAGGAAATGCAGAGAAATAACTGGCTACAACATTTCAGTATGGGTACTGCTGATTTTCGGGTGCTTCCATGGACATTATCCATGGAGCATTCTCTAAGGACATTGGGAAGCAAAGAATACATGAATATTTTGAGACCTTTTATTTCCTCTGTTTTATTTAATGTAAACAAAAGATATATAATAATAAAATTCAGAAGGTAGACCTGCAGATGTAATCCTGTGCCATTGGTCTGTATGTAAAAAACATTGCCATGAAAAAGTTGCTAAATTCTACTACTGTCTCTGAGGAAGTGTCCTAGAGTTTCCTAAATTGTGAGCTATATATCAATAGTTCCTTTCTGTAGGTAGTACAAATCTAAATATTTATTTGTAAAACCTATTTCATAAAACTGTGCTTATTCCAGGGACAGACAGATGCATGCTGATTCAACCCAGAGTTATAAGGCATCTTTTTCAATGGGATCCTGAAGTAATTTTAAGAAGAACAGCATCCTAATAGATGTTGAATATGTGGGTACATGGCATGGCTGCTGATATATAATAATTTTAAAATAGGTGGTATGTAGGCATTGCAAAGGATGACATTGTGGCATGGAATGAAAAAATTGAGAAACACTGGGCCAGAGGTCTTTCAATTTGATATGTACATAAAGTTAAAAGTTAGTCTTTATTTAATAGGATTTTGACAGCTGCTAAACATTGGATGACTTTAGCTATAGACATCTAGTACATCTGCAGCATAAGATCTCCAAAGCATAGTAGGCTGTAAACTAAAGAAGGGATGAGGGCACGAAATGATGACCATTCATTGCAAATTTTAAAGCGGGGCATAACAATAACCAAAGCGGGTTTCCTACTTGCATGTAGTTGCATTGTAGTGCCAGGACAAGTGGGCAGTTAGCTTAATTGTTACTTTGCTGTCCTGGAACTGGATAGCAGAAGATTTCTCTGAGAGGTACTTAAGTACTGTGAGGTCAGATTTCCTTTAATTATTTTATATTTATGTTCCTAATAGTCGAGCTGGTGGCAATGAAAAAGACTTAATATACCTTTGGACCAATTATACTTCTAAAAACAAACCTTTTGTAATCTCCATTACAAGCAGGAAATGTCAGCCTTATTAATTTGTCTTCTGAAATGAATTTGTACCATTACTGTTAAGAATGAAGAACATTCACATTTTCCATACTTTTTTATTTTCAGGTTGATGGTCAGGTGGTTTAAATGGATGATGCATTGCAAATACATGCTTATGCTTGAAGTCAAGTCTAGACTGATAGAATGGCATTTGTAAGTCTGGCATGCCTAGGAAGATCTGTGGGCTAGTCTAGACTCCTAAAGGCTGCATAGCTTCAGAAAGTACTGAATTTCACTTCTTTAGCGTAAATTGTAGCGCCGGTTAATGTGTATGTGGCCTCTAGGTACCACAGAGTTTTCAGAAGTGGTATTAAAACAAAATATCTGCATAGTTAGTTTTTTCTATCTGTTAACTAATATTCTAAATGATGTACTATTCTTTATTCCCAGTCTAGATCTGTATGTAGGCTTCTCATTGTAGGAGATGCTTTAAAATAGGGCCATTTTTATAAAGCAGTGAATCTGATCATCACCAAACATTATCTGCAGGTTAATCTTTCAGGTGCAGGTGTTTTAAATGACAGTGAATGATTAACTACCAGTGAATGTTTTGTAAAAGTTACCTTCACTGTTTTATAAATATGCCCCTAAGTGTTGGCAAAGAGCTAAATACAAGTTAAAATACATGTAAGTATATTGCCTTGCATGACAATAGGATTTTGTCTCTTTTTAATTCTGTTTAGCCTGTTTTTAATCCACACACTATACAAGGTCCTGACCATTTATCTTTTTCCACTGCATTGGACAGACAGGAAGCATCTTTGTGTTCTCCTCCAACCCATAAACTGCATTTGTTAGATTCCCTATATCAGGGCTCAAAATTTCAAGTCCTGAGCTACTAGCCAGGCCTTAAGAGTTACTCGCCACCAGTCGCCCCACCTGACCCCTACCGTGCCCCGCCCATTATACAATGCAGCAAAGCTTGACTGGCCAATATTGCTTACACTTCCACTGGTCTGAATGCTAATAGGCAGGGATCACTGAAAACTATAAGAAATACAAATTGAGGTACTATTCAAAATGCATCTTAAGTATTTTATGAATATATAACTGAATTATACACACTGAATTATATGTTAAAAATAGGGTTATTAAAAATATTAACCGCTTGCCGTCCGTCCATTGTAAATGGACGGACGGCAACCTCCTATCAGCGGGTTCATGTAAATGCACGTCTTTTTTTTTTTTTACTTGTGCACGCCACCTAGCGCGCATGAGCAGATTCCCGCAGAAGATGTTTACAGCCGTTACTGGCTGTTCCATACCAGCGTTGGGGTGGCTCTATAGCTGTCCGATCGCTTGTATGTTAACAAAGAGTTTGTGCCCCCTCCTGCTGCCACTCTTCATCGCATTTGCCGGTTATCCCGGGTTCCGCTGTCCCCCCCTGGCAGTGGCTGGTCACACTGTAAACGGAGGAGAGATCAGCAGTCTCCTACTTGCTGATCTCTCCTCTGATCTCTAAAGGCGGAAGTGATGTGTATTACATCACTTCCGCCTTTAGCAGTCAATTCTGTGGCTGTTATAGCCAGAGAAGAAGCTGGTGAAGCAGATATTTGCTTCATCAGCTTCTTTGGGGGTTTTAAAACACTCCACCTTCAGAACACTCCTTAGCAACGCAGCTGGGAATGGCATGCAAGTGAAAAACCTAAACGTTAAAAACGTTTTCCTATATGTAAGTGGACGGACGGCAAGCTCCTTCCAGCGGGCACCGTAAATATATGGCTTTTTTTTTTTTTCTGCTTGTGCGCACGAGCAGAACACACTGACAGATGTTAACAGCCAGTAACGGCTGTTATACATATAAGATAACGGCGGCTCTGTAGCCGTCTGACCGCTTGTATTTGCTGCCCTGCAGTGTGCTCCCCCTTCTTCTGTGCAGCCTCCCTCCACCGATTTAACTTTCTATCACGGGCTCTGCTGTCCCCTCTGCAGGCCCGGGACTGGCTCGGCAGCTCTCAGCATGAAGATCAGAGGGACAGGGGTGTGGAATTCGTATCGCCCAACGCCCGGGACATGTAGTTCCGGGCGCCGGGCAAGTTGTTTTGTCACTATTTTAGCCCTGCTATGTAAAAGTATAAATGAGCGCCGCTGCGAGCAGGGGGTGTGGAGCGCTGAGAGCGGGGGGGGGCGTGG